GGTCTGCAATACAGGTATTGAAAGCTTAGCATGTATTTTCCTTTACCACTTCTCAGCACTCAGTTCCTGTCCAGAGTGATCAATTCCAACTATCATTGCCTGCTATCTAGTTGGGTTTTTTTTGTTGTTGTTGGTTATAGGCCAAACCGGATGTGCTCAGGAATACTCCTGCATTTCCATTTGAAAGAATCTCTCTGACCTGATTTGGGGAGCTTTTCTTAGAGGACAAGAATGAAAGTGAGGAAGCTGTTGCAGTGTCCACACAGAAGGGACTGCGGGGAGGGAAGGAAGCCGGCCGACCAGGAATATGCTCCTAGCAGGAGCCTCTTGGAGATCGTCCTGGGTCCATCTTAACTTAGTGTATTTTTTCTGCCTTTTTTTGGGTTTTTTTGGGGGGGAGGGTTTTGTTTTAGGGTCACACCTGATGGGGCTCAGGGCTTACTCCTAGCTCTGTGTTCAGGGATCACTCCCAGTAGAGCTCAGGGGACCCTATGGGGTGCTGGGGATTGAACCCAGGTTCACCACATGCAAGGCAAGCACTCCGCCCTCTTGTCCTGGGCCCCCAAGCCCCTGTACAGTTTAATGTTTAAAATGACACGTGGGGGCCAGAGAGATTGTACAGCAAGTAAGGCACTTGCCTTGCATGTGGTCAACCTGCATTCAATCCTAGGCACCCCATAGGGTCTCCTGAGCACAAAGCCAGGAGTAAGCCCTGAGCACCACCTGGTGTATCCGTCCCCCCCCTCCAAAAAGATACACACGGAAAAAACTATTAAAATGGGAGGTTCCTTTTCCTCACATTCACAGCAATGTGACTATCATACGTAGCTGATATATGCCTATGATCTTGCATTCCCTGGGAATCCTTTATCTTTGTGCTTCTCAAATCAGGGCCCAAGCCTTTAGGGTGATGCCACCTGTGCCAGGTACCACTCGGTTCAGGAGCAAAGTTTGCGTGGGTTCTTAAGATAGAACTTAGACTTTAAAGTTGTTCTAGGTTCTTTTTCACACTTCTTTTGATATCTACTTTAAAGTTGTTCAGGGCGGGAGCCCCCATAAATCATTTCAAGGATCGAAGGGCAGGAGGGAGGGGGGGAGGGAGGGAGGGAGGGAGGGAGGGAGGGAAAGACAGGAAATGAAGGAAAAGGAAGGGAAGAAAGGAAGGGAGGGAGGGAGGCAGCCTCCAAGAATCACTTCAAAGGATCCTCTAGACTGTCCTTCAAAGACACAGTGCAGCTAAAGCATCTGCCTTGCAAGTTTGATACCCAGTGCCATCACCACCACCACTGCCCTTTCACCAATGGTGCCAACTCAGAGAGCACCAGCCCGGCAGCTCTGCTGTCTGTGAGCAATTTCTGGCTTCCCTGCAGCCAGGTGTGTGAGAGCACTTACCCAAAGGGCACACCCCAGTGAGTCCTTCAGCTAAAGAGATGTGTTGGCACCATATCCAGGAATTTGACCTTGAAGTGTACACATGTGTAAGCACCACAGCTTCGTGTGTGTACAACTCGCCCTGCGCATAAGTGCAGCTACTGAACGTATAAGCATCAAGCATCGTAGCCTAAAGTACAACCCCTTTGCATCACAGTGAAGCATGCATGTGATACCAATTAGGGAGGGAACAATAGGAAGATGGAGGGAGGAAGGGAGGGAGGGAGGGAGGGAGGGAGAGAAGGAGGGAGGGAAAGAAGGGAAGGAAGGAAGGAAGGAAGGAAGGAAGGAAGGAAGGAAGGAGGGAGGGGGAGGGAGCAGAAGGAAGGGAAGGAGGGAGGGAGGGAGAGAGGAAGAGAGAAGGAAGAGGGAGGGAGGAAGGGAGGGAGGGAAGGAGGAAGGGCGGGAAGGACCAATGCTATGTGATTTTTCCATTGTGATGCACAGTAGGATGGAGATAAAAGTTGCTCTGGGCAGCAGGGGGCGCCCTGGATCCTGGCACACAGTGACCAGCTAGTATACCAATGGGCACGCTGGTTGGGAGGCACTGGGATATGTCCTATTAAGACGTGACTCAATTGGAGGGAAGTTACTAAAGGATTGTTCAGAGGTATCACTTCATCCTGTTAGCTAGAAGATTTAGCACAATTAACACCTGATTAGTTACTTCTCCTTAAGATTTTTCTCCATCGTTGCACTTTTCTTAGGGTAGATTTCTCAAAAGATTGTCCTTCCCAGGGAAGTGTCATCTTCTATGGCTCTGGGAACTGGCATGGCCGTAAGAAAGTCAGCCAGGGGCTCTGAGGCATTCTCAGAGGGAATGAGAGGAAGAAGATTGAAGTTCTGTTGCTTTGTGCTGTTTGAGAGGAGGGTGTTGTTTCTGTTTGTTTTGTTTTAGGGTTCACATCCAGTAGTGCTCAGGTGCTACTCCTGGCACAGAGATCAGTAGTTGCAGTGATGCTCAGGGGACTCTGAGGGGCTGGGCTCAAACTAGAGACCCCTGAATGCAAAGTGTGAATGAACGTGCTCAGCCCTTGAGCCAATTCCTAAGCCCAGACCTTTCATTTCTAATGATGTTAAGTCAGTATCAATCACATCTCCATAAAGCTGGGAAAAATTCTATTAGAGACCAAAAAAGAAAAAAAGTTGTGAAAGGGGAGGCCGACATGCAAACTAGGGCCAGAGAAACAGTATAGCAGGGAAGGAGCTTGCCTTGCACACTCCTGAGTAGGGTTCGAGCCTATCAAGAAGGATCCCTGAGTGCAAAGCCAGAACTAAATCCTGCGTACTGCTGGTTGTGACCTAAAAACAAAACAAAACAATCAAAACAACCCAAATAAAGATAGCATTTCCAGTGATTTCAAAGCCCTTCTCGCGACCCTTCCTTCCCATCCTGAGACGACATTATCTCACTTCCATCATCAGAGATCAATTCTACCTGATCTTGAACTACCAAGATTGAAGCATATACTCTGTCTATGGCTGCATCCCCCTCCTCCTCCTCCTCCTGCATTTTGGGGGTCACACCTGGCAGCTCAGGGGCTGCTCTCAAGTCTGTGCTCTAGGGCCTCTCCCAGGTGCTCAAGGGACCCATGAAGTGCCAGGAGTCAAACCCAGACTCCTGCATGTAGAGCTGCGCTCAGCACTTTGAGCTCTCCATCCCACATCTCTGATTTCTTTGGCTCCCACATTGTATCTGAAATTCATCCATGTTATTGCATAGCAGTGAAATCCTTTTTTATTGTGTCATACATCATTGCATTCTCTAGGTTTACCACACTTCCATACTTTTCAGTCTTAGAAACCATAAGAATTTTAGAGCGACAAAACCCTAGGTTCTCACATTATATAATCCCAAAGTAACTAAGTATGAGAGTACAATGAACTCTGTAATCACCAGAGTATGTAATTACTTTAAGAAATGTATAGCTCCAGTTGGGGAAAAAAAGATTTTAGGACCTACACAATTTTATAGGTGATCTAGTGATTCCCTGAACTTACAATTAAAAAAAGATTTGAGGGCTGGAGCAATAGCACAGTGGTTAGGGCGTTTGCCTTGCACGCAGCCAACCCGGGTTCGATTCCCAGCATCCCACATGGTCCCCTGAGCACCACCAGGGGTAATTCCTGAGTGCAGAGCTAGGACTAACCCCTGTTCATTGCCAGGTGTGACCCAGAAAAGCAAAATATATATATATATATTAGATACCACTGGTCACTTTGGTATGACAATAACATATACATTTAAAAGAAGTGGAACATAAATTGTCATTTATGAAAATTAATTCCAGCTAGTAAGTTCAACTTTACAGGGTTCTTGGGAGCTGCACTGAACAATGTAAATTCTTTTTGAAAAATTTTGCTAAATAATAATTACAAATTTTCTCTTAAAGTTTATTACTGGACAAGAAATCTTAAATAGAAAATTACATTATAATTACTATGGCCTCTTTTATATTTGAAAATTCTGGAAACCTTTATTACTGTCAGTAGGTTGACAGATAGCTGGCATCTGGGCAAACTTGGATGTGACATTGCACTATATAAAAATCCAAGTGTGTCATTGCACATGACCATGGGAAATTGTCTCCTTTTACAAAACAGCAAACAAAATCAGCTTCATTTAGGCCAGCTGGTTATTGTCAACTATTCAAGAGAATGTCCTCTATTCAAGAGAGGCCCTCCCTGGAACTTCCTTCCCAGCAGGAATTCTCCTGACAATGACTTCTGTTTGGGAATCTTCCTGTCACTATTAATATTTTTTTTCCTCTTTGGGCAGGGGGTGGAGGCCTGGGTGCAGAGGAGGGGGGCAGGGGAGGCTCCCAAGAGGCCCCATTAGTGATTCTCAGCCAACTGGGTCAGCGATTCATTGCAAGAGCCCGAAGACACTATGCTGCTCAGGCCCTGCAGTGCCGGGGACCCTGCACCAGTCCTATGATGCTGGGGGTCTCTTGGGCTGTACCTGGTGATGCTCAGGGGGACCGTGTAGTGCTGAGTCTCGAACCCAGTTTGGACACATGCTAGGTATGTACCCTAACTGCTATACTATCTTCTGACCCCTAGTATTTTTGTAAGCACCATTGAAATAAAGAACTGTTAGGTATTTATGTTTTCTGAGTACTCTCCCATCACATTTATTTTATAATATTGTCCCTGTAATTTTAATGATTGACCTTTTTATTTTCTTTTTCTTTCTGGTATAATGAACATGCATAAAAAATATTGACCAAAAATCAAAAGTGGATTTCAAGGTGAAAGTTACTGCCAGATGTCTGTGCTCAGGAAATCTACTTGCTTCTTTCTCACCAAATCATATTTTTTATTGTATTTATGTTAGTATGGTCTTCATATTTTACATTTTAATTTTCACTTACAGAGGCATGAAAATATTATCTTGATCTTTGCAAAGTAAAATTAACCTTTAGAGAGGATAGTACTATGAAAGTGTTTATTGCCAATATCTTTCTCTTTCAGCTTCGTAAGAGGGTTATTTTAGAATTTAGGTGATCTTAAAAGAGACTTGGAACTTGGTTTTTACAAGTTTCCCTAATTGTACATCTTCCTTACAGGGGACCATTTATCTAAATGTTTGGAAGGATTATTTATCTATGAAGAAGAAGGCCCTGGAGTTACAGGTTCCAGTAGGAAAGGAAATGATGCCATCATAGTAGAACAATGGACTGTTATTGAGGTAAAATTACAATTTTCTGGAAATTCACTGTTACTTTTCTATTGAGATTTACATTAAAGTAAATTTGTGCTAGTCTGTTTAGCATCACATCCTCATGTTTAGCAAAGACAATCCATGTCGGTGAAATATTCTGAATTTTATCAGAATGCATGCAAACCAAAACTCCACAAACATATTTATTTTTACCCAATGTCCAACTTTTGTAAGACCTCTCCCAAAAATCATATTTAAATAGCAGTTAGCAGTTAATTTCCCAAGATTTTGCATTCCAGTCCTAAAAAAAGACCCCCACCCCAGTCCCTTTACACAATGCCATGAGGAATGATTGAAATGAGAAAGGAAAAAAATTAGTCAATAACTAGCATTTTGGGGACAGAGCGATAATACAGTGGATAGGGTGTTTGCCTTGCATGTGTCTACCTGAGTTTGATCCCCAGCATTCCACATGGTCCCTTGAGCCCCACCAGGAGTGATCCCGAGCACAGAGTGAAGATAAAGTCCTGAGCATCACTGGGTATGAACCTCTCCCCCAGCCCCAAAAGAAAAAGTCATCTAATATTTGAATATCTCCAAGCAACTAATATTGGTTTTATTGTTGTTTTCAATGCTGGCTTTTTGTTTTAGTAACCATGTGAATTGACTTTTTAAATCGAAAATATGGAACACATGTTCTCTTTCATCAGGCCAGTACATACACACAGCACTGTGCTACTGTACACTCAGCAAGTAGACTGCCCCGAAGGGTACAGACTGAATCTGAAAGTATTGTATTGTGTGTATGAGGTCCTGGCCCACAGGATCACTCCTGGACACATCTGCCTTCCAGGACATTTTCACCTAAACCTGAGGACCGGCGACACAGTCCAGTGGGTAGGGCACTTGCCTCACACCGCCCCCCAGGTCCCCAGAGCAAAGCCAGGAATGAGTCCAGAGTACAGTCAGGTGTAGCACCAAGGCAAAAAAAAAGAAAAACAAAAAGAAAAGAAAGAAAAACACTTGAAGCCCCATTAAGGAGAAGAGAAAGGAATTTAGGGAGAAGAAAAGTATTTGGAGGAAATCACTTCCAAATGAATGAAAGTGGTGGAAAACTCTGTGTAAGCAGCTCTCATCTTTCCCTCAGATCCTCCAGTCCTCTCAGCTTCCCAATCCCTAGGGTATGTGGCCTTTTAACTACCTTTGAATTTTTTTTTTTCAAATGTTATTTCTTGGCCCCATGCGACCCTGGCAAGTAGGCATGTTTTATGTCCAAACTTTGCAGAACCAAATGAAAATCCCTCTGACCTCCAGCCTGTCTAACTTGGTCCCATGGCTAGATGCAACAGGGAGCAGGATTGAGCCCACAAAGGTCAAGAAATGGTGGTTAGTGGAGGGTGAATGCCCATCGCCCTTGACTGAGGTTTCCCTGTGAGGTGGCTGTTACCATCAGCCCTGAGCTCTGTGCTTCTCCACACAGGGCTATGAAATCAAAGCGGATTATGGCCCTCTGCTGCACACCCTGGCTGAGTTTGGGTGGCTCCTGACCAGCGTGTTGCCGACACCTATCCTGAGACATGACAGGTAAATGCCACACTGGCTCTCATTTCAACTCTAAATTATACCTTATTGAAGAACTCAATCGAATACATGCTTATTTAATGCCTACAAAAGACATCGCAGTTAGCTTCTCTAATCTGATTCCATGGACCTTGGAGGTCAACAAGCCTAGTCCCGGGGTGTTGTTTACTTAGAAGCAATTTTGTCTCCTTCCCATGGTATGGCTCCTTCCCAGGGGCATTCAAGTTCTGGAGATAGGGCCAGAGCAGGACATGGGAAACTGGGGCCTGCTCAGAGCGCCTCCAGGCTCTTTCCTCTTGGCGGCCGATTTTATTTTGTTCGGTTGCAACTCAAGAGGCTGAGTCTTCCCTTGTGTGAAGATTGGTTTGAAATGAATCTGCAGACCGAGATGACCGCCTCTGTGGGACTCAGGCTTCTCCTCACAGAGTGCTTAAACAGCCTCTGCTTGCCGGCTGCAGAAGCCTAGAGGGGGCAGGCCTGGGTCAGCTTCCTTGCCTTGGGTGTTTGTTTTCCCTGCAGCATTGACTTGCTAGCTGTTTGCTCTAAAGTAAACCTTTAGATTTTGAAACAAAATTCCAACATTTCACAAAGAGCCAGTCTTCTTGTTTTCTTTTTGGCTAATTTTTACCCATTTACTCTCCTAGAGGAGGGTGGGGGAAGAGAAGTTTTTTTTTGGTTTGTTCGGGTTGGGGACCACCCCGGGCTGTGCTCAGGCCTTACTCCTGATTCTTAAGTTCAGGGATCACTTCTGGTGGCGCTGGGGATGGGGTTGGGGGCATCCATACCGGGTGCCACATATCCCAGAGATGTTCCCTGCTCTCATTGGCATTAAAAAGAATGACTGACAGTAAAGACTGCCTTGCTGAGACCAGTGATCATTTGCAGAGGACACTAGCACCGAAACCTCACCTATGCAGTCAATTGTGGTTTAACATTCTGAGTAAATACCAGGTGTAGCTTAACTCCTTTCTCAGGCTCAACCACGCTTTCAGGTTTTCCTTGTTTAGCAGCTTACCCCTATCCAATGTCCCCAGTCTCCCGCAAAGTTAAAAGCACTTGGCTGACATGGTTCTGTAGTTAAGTAATGCCCCTCTCAGGTGAGAGAGGAATAAGGATAGATATAAAGATAGTTAAGCTTAAGAAAGAAGGGGTTAGGGGCTTAGGAGCCGGACAAATCATTCAGAGATAAGGTACTTGCCTTGCACACAGCTGACCCAGGTTCAGTTTCTAGAACTACATATGGTCTCCTGATCACAGCTAGAAGTGATCCCTGAGCACTGCTTAGTATGGACCTAAAAAAGAGGGAGCGGGAGAGGTTAGAAGTGCAATAATTAACTTGCTTTTCTCCTCCAAGACCCCAGGTATGGCTCAAGTTGAAGTGACAACTCTATTGGTTTCCAGCATTTTACCATCTGAGACATACCTGTCAGATCATACCATAGAAGTGATTCTTGAGATTTGGTCTTCAGACCAAGCTCTGTGAGTCACCTGTGGAGCTGATGAGTATGCTTGCATGAAATGTCCACCCCAGTAGGTCAGAAGCCGTGAACAAGCATTTGCCCCCAAGCCACACACACTTGAAACACTTTGCTGATAGCAGTGAGAGAGGAAAGAAGTCTCTTCCCTCCCCTGCATTGACTAGGCCACTCCCCACTGTTCCTCAGAACGACTTGCATGTTTGGCCTCATCTTCTTTGGGTTGTTCTCCTAGGGAATCTAAAGTTAGCCCTTCCTAGAAGTTCTCTGCATCCTGAACCTTTTGTATTCCTTTTTTTCCCAGGGAAAGTATGTTTGTCACTTCTCCCTCCCCTTGCACTTGAACTTCTACATGCAGTCATGAGTCTAAGTATTTCCTGAAGTGACAAGAATGCTTGATGGGACCCAAGATTAGACAATTAGACAGTGAGTCTCCGGGCCTCCTGGAACTCTCCACAGCTCCTACTTCTCGTTCGCTTGGGAATGAGGCCAAGCCCGAGACCCTGGGTAGGAAAGAAGAGTTCTCAGACATTCTGTGAAGGGGAGAGGACAGTGAGCTTGGAGTCACACCTGTCTTGAGCACCTTGTCAGTGTGCCAGAGTGCAGGGAGTCTGACAGAGGTAGCAGCATGACCTCACCATTCTTCTGGTTTCTCCTGCATCCCTAATGTCCACCAAGACTAAGAAGTTACAGAGCGGATCCTTCAGACCCTCTCTGTGAAGGTTGATCTTTATGTGTGATTAGAATAGCAAGGGCCACAGTGATAGCACAGTGGGTAAGCATTTGCTTTGCACACGGCCAACCTGGGTTCGATTCCTCCGCCCCTCTCGGAGAAACTGGCAAGTGTGCCTTGTCAGTGTGCCAGAGTGCAGCGAGTCTGACAGAGGTAGCAGCATGACCTCACCATTCTTCCAGTTTCTCCTGCATCCCTAAAGTCCACCAAGACTAAAAAGTTACAGAGCGGATCCTTCAGACCCTCTCTCTGAAGATTGATCTTTATGTGTGATTGCAATAGCAAGGGCTGCAGTGATAGCACAGTGGGTAGGCGTTTGCTTTGCACACGGCCAACCTGGGTTCGATTCCTCCGCCCCTCTCGGAGAGACTGGCAAGCTACCCATGACTTATTCAATATGCCAAAACAGTAACAAGTCTAACAATGGAGATGTTACTGGTGGACGCTCAAGCAAATCAATGAACAATGGGAGGACATTGCTGCAGTGCAACAGTGGAATAGCAAAGGGCTAGTTGCTGATCTGTTCCTTCAACTGTAACAGTGGAAAGTTGGACCCAATATGTCTGTCCATAGTAGACTGGTTAAATAAGTTATAAACTATCATACAAAAGTAAATGTAGAAGGGCTGGAGCAATAGCACAGTGGGTAGGATGTTTGCCTTGCACGCGGCCAACCCGGGTTTGATTCCCGGCATCCCATATGGTCCCCTGAGCACAACCAGGAGTAATTCCTGAGTGCATGAGCCAGGAGTAATCTCTGTGCAATGCCGGGTGTGACCCAAAAAGCAGGAAAAAAAAGTAAATGAAGCAGATTTTTAAAATGAGCAAATCTATATATGTATTCTCATAGAATTATTTTTATTGATAATTATTTAGAAGAAGTTTGCGGGCCAGTGAGATAGTACAGTGGATAAGGAGTTTACTTTGCATACAGCTGACCATGTTCAATATCTGGTATCATATATAGTACCCCCGCCCTGCCAGGAGTGATCCCTGAGCACAAGGTCAGTACTAAGTTCTTAGCACTAACTGGGTGTGGGTCAAAAACTTTAAAAAAAAGAAAATAAGAAAGAAAAGGAAAAAAATGTTTGGTATAGGAACCAGGAATGTAGCTCAATGGTAAAGCATGTGTGATTTTTGGTGTTTAACCCTGATCACTGAAAGAAAATGTTTGGGAACAGCATTATAGTGCAATCCCAGTTTTTAGAGCTTACACATTTTGATTATTCTAACAAAACTTTGAAAGTCTATACCAGATTCTAGTGATTGTTTAGTCCTGAATATAATGAGTAGAGGAAGATAAAAATTAGAATTTCTTTATAGTTTTTTTATTATTTGACAATTTATAAGTAACTTAAGTTTATTTTATTTTTAAAAATTCTTTATTTTAAAAAATGTACCAAATATGCTCCCCTAAGCACACCCAGGAGTGACCCCTTCATTGTGTTCCAACCCACTCTCTATAAATTATGAAATCCAAGGCATCATCATTCCAGCCACATTCAGTGTCTTGTCTAATGCATGAACTGCATTCCTGACTTTCCTGGTTGTGTTTTTTTGTGTAAGTATTACATTTATGATGGTGTGGATTTTCCTTAGTCATGAAAATTGTTGCCCAAAGAACCCGGAACCCAAACTTCGCAATAAAAGACTTGAGCTTCTGCGTTCAGTGCATGGGGAGTGAGCATGGCAGCATCACGATTTAGATCCATGTAGATCCTCCTTTAGAAAATTGCTATTCAGTTTAGATCCAAGATAACAAAAACCAAAAATGTATATTGGGTCAAGGACACGGCCTAGTAGTAGAGCACACACCTCATCTGCTTGAGGCCCTGTGTTCAAGCACCAGCGTTAAGAAAGTATTTTAGCAGTTGGAGTCCTGAGGCCATGAGCACACTAGAACACTCAGCAGCTACAGTTTGGATGTCAGGAACGCCCTGTAATATTGCTGTTTGTTCTGTTCTTTCTCCTTCTGTAACTGGGGCCCTTCCCAGTGCCTGCATGTATACCGTGTGAGGTGAAGGTAAAGGTTCACTGCTGTTATCTGATAACGAAGTTTGCTGAGAAAACCTGTTTGTCCACTACCTTTCTATTCTTCTCCAAAAATACTTCCCTGTGGGCCTACCGTGCTCATACTACTTCAGTATACACAAAGATGGTGTGTGCTCACCATCAGTATCTTTCAGTATAAAGAAAAATATTATCGACAGATTCATTCTGGTAGTGTCTGAAAGGTTTTGGTCTCTAAAACTACAAGCATGGGAGTTCAATTTAAGCTAATCACGTCTCCATTTTTTTTTCTCTCTCTCTCTGTCTCCTTACTTTTGCTTTGTTTTCCTTTGGTTCTGGTTTTTGGAGCTACCCTAGTCTCACCCAGGTCACACCCAGGGTTCTGCAAGGCACAGCATGCACTCCCGCCCTTTTAGTACCTCCTAGGTCCTAACTGCACCTCATTACAGCCTCACCAAGGACTTGTGATTCTGGAAGTCACCTCACCTCTTTAAACCTCGGTTTCTGCATCTGGAAAGCAATACAATACCTTAATAGGTTGTTAGGATAACTAAGAGAATATATGCCAAGTACCTATGTTTATACATAGGAGACTAATAAAAGAGCTATTATATGGAACCTACCCTTCAGTAATAGCAAAATACCTAAATAATAGAGCTATTATATAGGCTCCACCACTTCAGCAATACCAAAAATCCTAAGAAGTTTAAAAATCACCAGTTGTGCAAGCTTAACATACCCTAATAAATCAGCTTATGCTAAGTCAGGATATTTCAGAAAATGTAA